TAATTGATGCAAATAATAAAGCAGCATCATAGATTAAGTCTAAAATAATTTTTTTTTTTTATTAAACATAGTTGGCAAAAAAGATTTTTTAACACTGTTTTTTGATTTGAATCGAGGTATAACATAAACAAGCCCCGCTAGAAGAGAACAGAATTGTGCAAAAATGTAAACAAGGTACACCGAAAACAAGCTACAACACAAAGTACACTTCTTTCCTGTGATGCTATTGCTATCAACATTTTTGCCAAACACATACAATTTGATTTAAAAACATATGCTCTATAGAATTTATATATAGGTAATAATTTATATTTTCTGTATAGCAAATTATTTTCAATCAATCCTTTTCACGCTCTTGGAAGAAATGTTAATTGTTCAATATATATAATTATTGTAATTCTGATAGTAACAATGCCCAATTTTCAATGATTTGTAAAAAAAATATAAACTTACGACGGTGTTTTTTCATCTTTTCTTCAATACAGCATTTATGTAGATTGACATTTTTTTATGTAACCATTACAATGTAAAAATGCTTGCTACCCTGTTGAAAATTCCTATGTGAGAACACATATGGGATCCCATCCAGGATCTCTTGTGAGTTCTTATGTGGGTTCCCGTACAGGTTCACACATAAGATCCTGTATGAAAAGGTTCCTGGGATGAACTTGCGTGAGATCAAGCGCACGATCTTATGTCTCTGTAAAAGCAATAACACAGGATCCCATGAGGTTTCCTGTGTAGGTTCCTATATGAACAACACGATAAATAGGAACACACATGGGATCTTATCCGAGATCTTGTATGAGTTCTTACATAGGTTCTCACATATAAGAAGATTAATAGCATATATATAAAAGCATTCTATAAAATCTTATTAAGCTGCTATTAATCTTCTTATATGTGAGAACCTATGTAAGAACTCATACAAGATCTCGGATAAGATCCCATGTGTGTTCCTATTTATCGTGTTGTTCATATAGGAACCTACACAGGAAACCTCATGGGATCCTGTGTTATTGCTTTTACAGAGACATAAGATCGTGCGCTTGATCTCACGCAAGTTCATCCCAGGAACCTTTTCATACAGGATCTTATGTGTGAACCTGTATGGGAACCCACATAAGAACTCACAAGAGATCCTGGATGGGATCCCATATGTGTTCTCACATAGGAATTTTCAACAGGGTACAGTCGATTTGTCAGGAGAACTATAACAAGAAAAGAACAAAACATATAACATAAAAAACATTTCAATAATATAGTAATATCACAATAATAAAAAAATATAAATTATATTAATTATGAACTTATTTCAGATTATATGTAATACTTAACAAGATAATTTTCAAAATATATAAATTTTAAACAAAATTAATCATTGACTGCCGTCATTATATGATAGTAACCTTTAGATATTACAATTCACAATAAATTGGAAATCAATAAAATGTAATTCTTTTAAAATGTTCAAGAAAAATCTAATATAATATTATTTTGTCATTAATATCTTAAGTATTAGGCGTTCCAGTTTCACTTAAATTATTACATGAGAACCTCATCTAATGTGATAGATTTCATTCTCAATAAATTCTACAAAAACCGGACAAAGTAATGAGCAAAAATTTACAATCGTAATCCTTTTTAAAACAAAAACACTATACTATAACTGTTTTGTAAACAATAATACATGGCAAAGATTAAGACAATTTTTAGCGTCAATTGTCAAGTAAAATATATTTAGTTCTTCAAGCTATTTATTTTTTTAAAATTAAACAAATAAATATATTGACATGGCCTAAATCACTTCAAGGTACAAAACTTATAAAAAATGTTCAAACCTTACTCTATTTGATGAAGAATCCGACTTCAAATAAGGCACCGGCAGCACGAGGGAAACTTTTCTCAGAAATGAAATGCTGGTCATTTTCGCGCTCTTTGATTCGCTGATGAGAAAACCTTTAAAGACACAATTCGTATTTATTACAGTCTTTCAACTTATTTCATGAATTTTGAGACAATCACTGATATTTTGAGTTATCTATATCATTTCACAATATATCAATAAATAGAGCGTTTAATATGATTTTCAATTTTTTTTCAAACCAAAAACAATGACTTTTTAAGAGCAGGATAGAACAACCAATGACAAAATTAATATAAAGGCATGCGCACTAACTATAACAGACTTAAGCTCCATTCATTCACCAACGAGATGCATAAAGGCCTTTCTCCAATAGGTTCCTTAATTTTTTTGCGTGACTTATGCGTTGGTTCGCAAGCGCAGTGACGTCAAGGCCTTTCTCCAATAGGATCCTAAACTCTTGCGTTGCGTATGCATTGCGTCGGTTGCTATTGGCAACCAATGCTAAAATCAACGCGTCAGTCACGCAATGCATACGCAACGCAAGAGTTTAGGATCCTTTTGGAGAAATCAGAAAGGCCTTCATCAAAGCATTGATACCAATCGCGAACAAAAAGTTTGGTTTATGATTTTAATCACTAAACAGTGAACTCTATATATCTGGAATACTGTCTGCCATTGATGGTCGCGAACCGAGAGAGAGGTCCATGGACGTCCATGGAGAGGTCTGATTCTTGTATCCCTCTCCTTCTCTTGATGAACTACGCAGGCGTAGTACAATACGTTCCAAAAGTTTACTTTTAACTGTGTTATGTCATGTTCACGTATGCATACATACTGTTAAATATATTCTAATGAACCTGTACCGACAAAGAGACAAAAATCAGACCTCTCACTCAGTTCGCGACTTTCAATGTCAGACAGCATTCCAGATATATAGAGTTCAGTGATTTTAGGACACTAAATATTTAATTATAAATATTAAATAACACAGTCCCACAAAAAAAATTTTTTTTTTGTCCGGCGTACTTGACTAGTCATTTCTCACGTATTTTGGGTCGCTGAATCCGAATCCGGGGTCAGAATTCACAAGTTGGTTCGTTTTTTCTTTCTAACCTCAAAAAACTTACTTTTTCGGTACATTTTGAGAGAAAATGAATAATCGTGAGCTAGTTTTGAAATTACGACTATGGATTACAATTTAGAAGTTAAATTTACTGACCACTTAAATATATTCTTCAAATTAAAAATGGCGGATCCAATATGGCGGATATTTTAAAAATTGTTTCGAATTCAACTTGTGAATTCTCACCCCGGATTCGGATTCAGCGACCCAAAATACGTGACAAATGACTAGTCTACTTCGCCGGACAAAAATTTTTTTTTTGTGGGGCTGTGTAATTAAAATTATTAACAGCCGTCGAGAAACATTTGCATTAAAAACTGTAAAGTTGGAAAACAAGGATAAGATGAACATAAACCAAACTTTTTGTTCACGATTGGTATCAATGCTTTGATGACGTCACTGCGCTTGCAAACCAACGCGTCTGTCACGCAACGCAAACATTTAGGCCCTTTCCAGAATGGAGCTAAACGCAACGCAAACGCGACGCATCTCAATGCTAAGCAAATGGGGATGCGTCGCGTTTGCGTTGCGTTTAGCTCCATTCTGGAGAGGGCCTTAGGAACATATTAAGGCCTTTCTCCAATAGGAACCTAAACTTTTGCGTTGCGTGACTGACGCGTTGATTTTAGCATTGGTTGACAATAGCAACCGACGCAATGCATACGCAACGCAAGAGTTTAGGATCCTATTGGAGAAAGGCCTGAAGACAGGAAAGGGCAAAAATATATCCGTTCTTTTCTAACTCATGTTTCACTAAATTATTACCAGATTTCATTAAGTTGTGAACGGGCTATTGGATGTACACTCGTGATCATTGATGCCTTCCCTTTTCTATCCTTGTCTTGCACACGTGTTGCCATGACAAGAGACGCTTGATTCTCACTGATTGGTCAATACGTCGAACAGCCAATACGTCGAACAGACAAAATGTCGAAAAGCCAAGACGTCGAACAGCCAATACGTCGAACGGACAAAATGTCGAACAGACAATACGTCGAATGGACGAAATGTCGAAAAGCCAAGACGTCGAACGGACAAAATGTCGAATATATTTGTTGAATTAAGTATAATTATACTCACTTTAACAAAAATATTCGACATTTTGTCCATTCGACGAATTGGCTGTTCGACGTCTTGGCATTTTGACATTATGTCCGTTCGACGTATTGGCTTTTTGACATTTTGTCCATTCGATATATTGGCTTTTCGACATTTTGTCCATTCAATATATTGGCTTTACGACATTTTGTTCGGTCGACGTATTGGCTTTTCGATTTTGTCTGTTCGATATTTTGTCCATTCGACATATTTGCGAATTGATATTTTGTCCGTTCGACAACTTGCCATTCAGCATTTTGTCTGTTCCACGTATTGACCGTTCGGTGAAAAGCAAGCATCTCCATGGCAACACGTGCGTAAGACAAGGAGAGAAAAGTTTAGGTATATACGGCCAAAAGTGTACCTTAACTGCGACGGAGCATTTAAGGTACGTTCACACTATTTCATTCGTGGACTAAAGTATAGAAGCATTAAGGGTAGGTCAAAGTCGTTGCAATTTTTACATAGAGCTTCAATGGGAAAATCGAATCGATTTTGACCTGCCCTTAAGGTACAGTCACAGCTCTACTGCCTACCTGCCTGCTTGCGCATATACAACGATCTCCGTCGGCCTGCGGTCTACAATGGCAGCATAATTTCTTTTTAATCTTTACTTAATTTTTTACATTTTATACGCTTCTGACGCATATTATATTTTTTAAAAAATTCCGAATTACGGTTAACTGCGCAACCCTGGTTTCACCAAATAGAAGTTTCACATTACGAATGTTCTACTACACGTGAGCGAGTTTCTATTCTATTTGCTATATGTCAAAGCCGACAAAAATTTTAATACTTCACAAATTCTCCCATAAAAATAAGGGAAACCAAATTCAATTTCCTTCAGAATAATAAAAACTTATTAAAAAATAATAAAAATAACTTTAGCGAATTTATTAAACAAATTTAAAAAATATAAATTAAAACTTATTTATATCGTTATTTTTAAAAAAGTATTGTATTTGAAATCATTTAAATTTCGCGGTTGGTCACACTGTGTCTTGAAGGCGGTTAGTTCTTCCGGTTCTCTCTTTTCCACGTAAACTCGCTCTTGAGAAGGTACTAGTTTTGAGTGTTATAAATTAAAAATCCATTTTAATCGTAAAAATAGTGGTATATTTTTTAAAAGTCGTCTCATTTTTCGAATCTCTAACGCCTAAGCATTCGAATAATAGGAAAATTTAGTGGTTTTCTAATAATAAGCAAGGAGATTCGAGATAGTGAACGCGCGTGTCAATCGGCATCAAAGTCTTCTGTATATTACATTAAAATAAAGATAGTTTTTTCTGATTTTACTTTTAGATCACAATGGGGAGGTACTCTCATGAACCTGCCAACCCGGTAAAATCCTGCAAAGCTCGAGGATCGAATCTTCGTGTTCATTTTAAGGTAAGTGAAATGTTGAAAAAAATAAAACTTAACCTCAAAATACGAAACTAAATATGGGTACTGTCAACGAAAACGGAACTTTAATGCATGTGCTTTTTGTGAAATTTCAATTTTACCTTTTATTCATATTCATTAAATTATATCAAAAATTTAATATTGACGTTTCCAATTATATTACAGATAGATAGATTGATTGTTATAAAACATGTTAGCTTCATATGCATTTTATTCTTAAACCTTTGACCTTCACTAAAATAATTTTCACTTTTTAACAAATTTTACCTTTTTCAGAATCTTTTACATTTGTTTAATTGGTTTATTTAAAAAATATGGAACATGAAACTAAGAATGTTTACACTTAAAAATTGAATACAATCCTAGCGTTAAAATCAATACTTGTGGGTTTGTTTAATAATTTATTTTGAAACAATTTGCATGGAGCGTTTAATTTTTTTTGTTTGAATCTTTCTTTATTTTTTTATAATGAAATCATTGTTGAATTTTTATGATATGTATGGTTAAAAAGTAATTAAAATACTGTTTGTTTTTTTTTTTTTTTTTGCAAAATTTCTAATAGTTATTACCAGCAGTTATTTTCCAAAGTATAAAAAATGTGTGTCTTGAGGTAGTATAACTATTTATTTCAAATTTTTTCAAAATTTACCTACATTTAACAATATGAGGAAAATTTTAATCACATAAAATTGACAAGTTTTACCACAATAGAAAGTATTGTGTGGTTAGATATATTATATTTATTTAAACAATAAACAGAATTTTAATTTTATTAACGGGGAAAAGGCTGGAAATTCGGTCCAACATTCGACAAATTTTTATTGAATTTATACAAAATTATTATTAAATAATTAAATGTTTATTTTTAGAACACTCATGAAACGGCCCGTGCTATTAAGAGCATGTCATTGCGTAGAGCACAAAAATATCTGAAAAATGTTGTTGAACACAAAGAATGTGTTCCTTTCCGACGATTCAATGGTGGAGTCGGTAGATGTGCTCAAGCAAAACAATTTGGCACTACACAAGGTAAAATTTTCAAATATTATAAATAAAATTTCTTTTAATACAAATTAATTAAATTTAATAAGATTTTGCCTTTTATTTTAAATAATATATTAAAAATTAAAATAAATCTTAATATTTAATTGGTTTATTTTGACTTTAAATTAAAGTTTTTCTTTTAAAAAAGTAATATTTGTAATACGAATAGTATTATTAATTTATATAAGTTGTTATACACAGTAATTCATAAAAATTTTCTTATAATATTTGTTTATATTTTCACAGGTAGATGGCCAAAGAAATCAGCAGAATTTTTGCTGCAGTTGTTGAAAAATGCAGAAAGCAATGCAGATCTTAGAGGTTTGGAGGTTGATAGATTGGTGATTGAACACATTCAAGTGAATCATGCACCTTGTCTACGAAGAAGAACTTACAGAGCTCACGGACGTATTAATCGTAAGTATTTTCAATTTTTATCGACTTTTAACAATACTTAAAGTAATTTAATTTAGAAAACTCGTTTTTCTCTTGGACAAGGAATTAAAATATTACAAATGGAAATATAAATCTTTCCTCTTTAAGGTTTTTGAAAAATTGAAGGAATTTTTTTTAATGTTTTGTCTAAATTTTGCAATAAAATATTTATTTTTATTATTAATGTATTTATATTCAATGAATTTTGTTTAACTTATTGAATTTGTGTTACAGTAGAACTTTAACTATCCGAAATATTTTACCTTTTTAGAGACAGTTTCACCAACTCAGGTTAAAAGTTAATCAGCGATTAAAGCCAATTTAACCACTCATGATTGGTCGGTTAAGGATTTAATCGCTGATTAACTTTTAACCGGAGTTGGTGAAACTGACCCTTAATCTAATTTAATGTAGAATTTAAATTTTTAATTTTATTAAAATAAATTAATTTAAATTTAAAAATTTATATTTTCCTTTTTTTATTTGCTAACGTTTTACAATCTACGTGGATCTTCATAAGTGCTTATTTGATTTTCATCCATATATAAAAAATGTATTTATTTAACAATGTAATAAAATATGATTTATTCATATGTAGTAAAATATATTTTTTTTAACGTAACTAAACTCTTAATTATCTCGGAAATAATAATAATAGTCGAATAAAATATGAATATAACAGTAATACAAAATTATTTCTTAAAGTGTAAAACAAATTTTAAATAAAAAAATATCGTAATTTTAATGAATCATAAAAAGAAATATGTAACAGAATTATTTAATATACATACAATTTAAATTATATCTTTTTAAAAAATATGTTTTTACTACATTTCAACAAATCATTTTCTCATTGTAAAAAAAATAAATTTTCAAGCAAATAAAATAAACACAGATGAAGGCCTACGTAGAGATCAAAATCTATTTTAAAAAAAGAAACAAGTGTGTGTGTTGATTTTATTAATACACAAATAAAATTATATGTATAAAGTTATATTGTTCAACATTAATTTTATTATATAAAAATATTTGAAATTTCTATTTTCCAAGTTAAATATGGTCCTAGTTGCTTGAGATAATTGAGATTCTAGTGTAAAAATGTTGAATTTTTCGTCTTTTCCTAAAGTTTCTATAATAAATTGGTTTAATTAACTAAATGAATTTTTGTTTTGTTTATAGCCTATATGAGTTCTCCCTGCCACATTGAAGTGATTCTTACTGAAAAGGAAGATGTCGTAGCCAAGGCAACCGAAGAAGAACCATCAAAGAAGAAGTTGAGCAAGAAGAAGTTGGCTAGACAGAAGGAAAAGATGATGAGAGAATAATCATGTTTTTCAAGAGAAAAAATAAAAAATATTGTAAAATAAGACTTTTAAATTCTTCTTCTTTACGCTTCTTATCATTTTTTTAGACTTAAATGCACGGGTAAAATTAAAAAAGTTAATAGATTTCGTTCTATAATTCAGATCTCGCAATTATCATTTCTTTTAAATGCAATATACTTACATAATTCAAATTTTTATTTTTAATATAATCAGGGTGTCCAGCGGTCAGGGAATTTAATTAAGTCAGGAAACTTTTTAAAAATTTGCCAAAAATGAACATTTTTATGAATTTTTAAAATTTTTCAGTTCCAAGAAAAAGTTTATAATGCTAATAAATAAAATGTTTTTTATTATCTCAAAAATACTTTAATATTTGATAATTTTCATTTTTTTAATATTAAATATTTATTTAAAAAAAGATTGAAAAATGTCAGGGAATTTTTTTTGTATTTCTTTCTGGACATCCTGATAATAAATATGTTTGCGCTTTATAGAAAAAACAGGTAAAAACTAGAAATCACGGAAAAATAAGAGAATTTTTCTTTTTTTAAAAAAAAACCACCAATTAAATATGAAAATTTCACTACTTTAAATAATTAAAATCCAAGAAAATTTCTAAAATTTTTGAGTCAGAGAATTTTGAAAACGAAATTTCGCGAACACCTTGATATTTTGACAAAGATTCAAATTTTGTTATAAAATTAGTGTATATATATACCTATATAATTCAATGTTATTAAATAATCTCTATAAACTTTTATAGAATTAAAAAAAGTATTGAACAGTTAATGAAAAAAAAAGTATCTATCTGATAGATATTTAATTTAATAATCAAAAATAAAGTTCAAAATAATAGATTTTTATATTGAATTCGTAAAAATATTTAATTTTTATTAATAAATTTATTTCTAATTAATATAGTCGAGTGCTTAAAGTAAGAAATTTTGAAAAGCATTGGAAATTTGGGGTGACATTTGAGCTTAATCTTTATTGAAAACCTGTTACTGCCGCCTTTACCTTTTAGAGATAACACTTTGTTCCTGAACAACGTTCTTTTCTTCCCACGCATTTAAACTATAATTGAAAGAACGATAACCGCGACTTTTGTTACAAATGAGACGTTACAATGAATCATCGAGGTGGAACTTGTATTTTTATTTATTATTGAAGAACCGTTAAACAAAGAAAAAAAATTTGGAATATCCTTTAGGTAATTTAAATTTAATTAATAAAGAAGATTGTACCAAAACAAAAATTAAAATTAATAGGTAAAAAGGTTTATTTACATAACAGATAAATAATTATTATAAAACTTTTGAAACAAAAATTTTTAAAAAGTAATTTTTTCCCACTTTAATAAATATAAGTAACTGAAATTCTTTAATTTATTATAATTCTTGACAAATAAAAAGAAAGATATTTGTATTAAACGAAAATTTGAAACAAAAAAATCCTGCGTAGCAACAGTTTTTATATTCATAAATATATCTATATTTATAATATTTGTTTAATAAATACAAGTAAAATTAATTTTATCATTAAAAGAACAAGTATAACAAAATTTTGAAAATAGAAAAATAATATTTTTTCATTACTTATTAATTATAATCGTAAAATAACCTCTTTTCTTGGTAAATTTTCAAATTTAAACAAGCCAATAAACGACATGCGAATGATTCGGTCAGCCAATCAAAGCAATTCTTCATTCAGGTGGCTCGTTCGGTTGCATATGTGTGTGTACTGTTAATGAAATAGGGGTATCAATGTGTACAAACAGTCCCTATATACGAATGCTATACTAGCACCACGTTATAAAACGACTGCTGCATAAAAGCGAGCAACAGCTTCACAACTCGTCTTTCGTTAAGTTTATACAGAACGTGTCAGTGAATTGTTATACTTCGAATATACATCTAAACTAATCATTGGAAAATCTAATAATCAAATAATCTGTTGAAGTCTTTTATAACTAAAACAACTTTCTCACAGGTAAGTGAAATCCTTTGTTTTCGTGTTTGCTATACACAATGTTTACATTTTATAACGAGATGCATATATGTGAGGACGCCGTCAAATTCGCGGACAAAGAAAGGTAAATTCCTCACAAAGGAATTTCTGTTAAAAAAATAATGTTTAAAATTTCCAGTAATTTTTTTGTATCTTGAAAAGAAATTGCATTCATTCAAATATTTTCTTTTGATAAATAAAATTTTTTGTTTACAACTGTTTAACTTTTTGTTTTCAAAGTTTTGACAATTTTATTCATAATAATTATTAAGGCAACTTATTTTTTTATGAATGAAAAGAAATAGGATTTTTTTCTTATATGATAACTTAAAAAAAAGAAAACAACAAATTCCTAAAATAATAAGGTTAAATTCTATAAAACATTTTAGAAAAAATATTGGAATAAAGAATGAACTGGAATGACAACTTTAGCTACAGTCAGACAGTAAAAAAAAAAAAAGCCCTTTTCTTTATCACAGCAGATGTTTCCACTTGTTAAAAGATATAAACGGTTCATTTTTTAAAAATAATAAAGTTTCTTAAAGTTTCTTAAATTTAAAAAATTCTTTTTTTTTAATTAGAGGAATTTTAATCAGAAAAAATAAGTTTACTTTCTTATTATTATGTTATTCCTTGATTCTTTATCTGTGCTACTTCCAGGAACAAAACAATGTATTTTGATCCTATAATATAGGATATATTATATTAAAATATACTTAATCTACCTTTTGTTACTACCTATAGTTGGAGAATAAAATAAATGTTTTTAAATTATATTTATCTGTTGGCAATTTTTTTGAAAAATACTTAAAGAATAAACATTTTATAAAAAGTTTGCAAATATTAAATTTATTTATTTATTTTATTTTTATTTTTTTTATTATTTAAGTATTATTTTTTAAGAAGTAAAAATAATTTAATGGATATTTAAACACAAAAAAATTGGTAAATCATAACTTGAATATTATATTAATTTTATATTTACAATTTAATCTAGAGTAAAAATTATTCAGTAATTTTTAAAAATTTATATTTATTCTATCTTAAATATTAATAATTATCCTTCTTCATTCATTATTTTACTAACTCCATTTTTTTATTAACTTATTTACTTATAATCTTTTTTTAACAAAAAATAAGAATTGAAAATCCTTTTACAAACAATTGATGAATAAGCAAAATTTAGAAAACTTAAATAAATAACTTAATATTAATTAATTATGAATTAATGATCAAAATTAATCATTAAATAATAAGCAATAATCAATTTAATAATTATTAATTACATATAATAAAATTTTAATTACTGATATTTATGTTATATTTATTTTAGATTAAAAAGACAATGGCTACACAGGTGGAAATGATTGGAAAAGATGAGGGTGAGTTTTTTTATTATTTAAAAAATTGATTATTTTGCTGTTTAGTATTTTGAGACTGAAAATTGCCGCAATTTAACGGTAGTGTATACGTGAAGTATTTTGGTAAATATGTGTACGCACCCTTAATTCAAAAGAAAGAAGTCTGTGAGAGGTCAGAGCCCTCGATTCTTGTCCTCGAAGAAACTCGAAGCCAAGTAAAGGTATTTTATAATCTTACTGTCAACAGCTGCCAATTTCAAACTTGATAATGGGTTTATCATTCAAATTGAAAATTAACTTGAAAACTAATTTTCACGATTAAACGTTTCGATTTTTCATTCAAATCATCTTCAATAATGATCTATTTTTAATTAAATGAAGAATTTAAATGGAAAAAGCAAATTATAAGATGAAAATTTAAAAAATCATTTAAAGAAAACAATTATTTCAGTAAATAAATTTAAAAAAATGACATTAGACGGTTGGATATTTGAACTTTCCCTTCAAGGAAAATGAAATAACTCTCTTTTTGTGAAAATTCCTCTGCTGCTGACCGACATTTCGCAATAATGAAAAGAATTTTCTCATAGAGACTATATGCATTCTTGAAGTTGAATATGTTCAATTTGATTCAAGTTCGTGTACTTTACTTTTAGTCTACATGACTATATACAGAATGTTGAAGAACAGGGTCTTTGAAATGCGTGGGGTAACCCGATTGTCCAGCTACATATATACAAACAAAAAAAAAGAAGATTTATCTGTATTGGGTGAAACGTCCCATAAAATAAAAGGAAAGCCTTTCATTTCAAGATTTTCACCACGAAACTCAATTTGAAGATCAGCGAGTTTCTGTTTTAATAAACTTTTCACTCCCGCTTTTTAATGCAGCTTTTCCATTTAATTTGACATAGAAATATAAAATTCATTTTCACCAGTTTTCACTGTTTTGTAATATTTTTCGCATTTTCTTGACATTTTTTTTTTCAAACACTAAGTTTTTTATTGTACGAAGAATGTACTTGAATTATTTGAGAATATTCAAAAATATTATTCAATATTTAAAATGAAATAACAAAACTATGAGAAATGTTTGCCAAATGAATTTCCCTCAATTAAACGATAATTCAATTAATAGAAATTCTTTTAAAAGACAATTCGATTAAATATAAAAATAGTATTTAATGAAAATTTCGTTATAGAGAAATTTTACTGACATAAAAATTCTCGGTTTATTTAATCAAATTGTTATTCAAAAAAATTTGCATTTAACCGTATTTTCAATTAATCAAAATTTTTTTTAACCAAATTTTGACACAATTTTCATTGTTAAATGTTAAATTGTTGTTTGGCAGAATTTTCGGTTAAAACAATTTTAATTTAACCAAATTTGCATATGGGCTTTTGTGATTCTCGAATCGAACACTTAAAAATCTGAATTATTTTGAATTAAAACTTTGTGTATCATTTTTATTTGCTAAATTATATAATTTTTTTTTCTTGAAAGTTAAAAGTTTCGTGGGTTTGCCCATATATTCTATAGAATTTACATTTTGATCAAATTTTCATTTAACCAAATTGGTTTTGAAAGAATTTTGATTTAACTAAATTTTACTTTAATTAAATTATTTGCATTTAACAAAATTTTCATTAGATCGAATTTCCATTTAAAAGAATTTTAATTTTATCAAATTAATTTATTTAATCGAATTGTAATTTTTTTTAAACCGTTTTTGATATATCATGAAAATTGGTGCAATTAGGGTCTAGAAGTCATAAAGAACTAATGAAAGTTTGAAATAAAAAATTTGTAGAAATCTTACTCTGAAAATAAAGATATTTTAATCAATTCTTTAAAACAATTTTTGTCGCGTTACCAAAGTAATGCATTTGTTTCTGAATAAAAGAAGAGAATATTTGCCTGGTTACTGAGGTAACAAATAAATGTAAGTCATTAAAAAAAAAATAATATGCCTTTTTAATCTTGTTAGTAAAAAATCAAAAATTGCCTTTGTTACAGAAACAATTGCATTTTATTGGTAACGATGCAGAAATTGTAGTATTATAAAGTAGACTTTAAATTCTTTTTTCAGTGTGATTTTGTTTAATAAAAATTTAATTAAATAAATAAGAATTCTATGAAAATGATACTTTATAAAATTCAGCTAAATATAAAAAAAACCGGATTTAAAAAATTTTGATCCATTGAAAATTTTGACTAATATAGATTTTCAGAGAATATTATCGTGCTTCCCGCGTTAACGAAGGGTTAATCGCAATGAAATGAACATTTTACCGGAAACGGGATTTTCTATGAGAATGCAAAATTCGCACGTGCTTAGTGACAAGCCGGCAAGAAATATTTCGTATATACAAAGGTATTAAATTTAACCAGAGTGTATTTTGAATGGTTATGTATTGAAGATCCTGATTCCTAGTGGGGTAGAGGGTGGATATTGAGCGAAACTCGGCGCCGCGTCGTGGCGCACCGTTGGGATTACTCGTCTTTTACGGTCTTTAGTCGCCTTCCAGCCACCGCCCCAGGTAAACCATATCTAAACTCCATTTCCTCATCTCGTTTTCTGATTCTCATCAGCGACTTATCTCGTCAACAACTTCCAAAAGTCTCGAAATAATAAAATCATTTTAACTCTTTGCTCCTTTTTATTTTAAAAAAAAACAAAAAAAAAAAATCAAGATGTTGATTGGTCTCGTACGTGACTCCGTTTTGCAATGCTTTTGTCATGGTTGCAAAGCACCAATGGGTCTCGTAGGTGAGTTTTCCACAAAAAAGAAAAAAAAAATTTGCACCCTTTTGCTTCTACTTGCCTCATTCCTTAGAAACAAACAATTTCCTTCGAACAAGCTTTCGTAATTTTAAATAAAGCACGTTGCAATGTTTGCTTTAAAAAAAATTAAATTTTTTATATAGTATTTTATCTTTTATAACCTTTGAAAGGAAAATTTCGATTTTCACCAAGTTTTTTGAAATAAGTGGCAGCTTTTTTTAAATTTTTTTCACAATTATTTTAAATTGTTTAAAAAGTATCATTTTACTTGATATTTTCAGCTTAAATACCAGTTCTTAATTGAAAAACAATTTTTAAAAAGAAATTGTGGAAGGTTAATTTATTTACAGATAATTATAAGGGAGCAATTTAAAATATAAAATGCACTTGTTTTATATCTTTTATTTAAAAAAAAAATTGATATAAATTACGCTTTTGAAATGTTAGTTTAATTTCAAAAGACTAAGCGATAAGATCTCAAAATCTAGAATCGATTTTAATTATATTCTCCTTCCGGACAATTAATAATCACGCATGCTGAATGATTTAATTCCGTTAATTACTTTTAATTTTCTGAGGGGTTCTGCGAAATGGCGAAAGATAGTGATCTTATAATACGTCCAAGTTGAAGGCAGCAAAAGTCATTTAACCGAAAAAAGATCGATAGCCTGTGAGTTTAGGTTGCGGATATGGAGAAATAAATATTCATGGTCGATTGCATCAACTTTGCTATTAAAATTTCACCGAAACTTTACATTACGAGTGTAATAAATTTCTAAATTACGGTCCGAAAACTTATTTTGGTACAATTTCAATTCTGTTATTTATAATACATAGTTGTTCAATATTTATGCAAAAGTAATTTGAATTATCACCTTTGCTGCAATGGACTTGAATAAATTTTCATAAATACTCTTTTGACTTTTATGAAATTATTTCTTTTGAATGAAAAAAATATTTTGCTACTTTTTAATCAATAACTTTCATGTTTTTAAAATTTTATATTTCTTTATGCTTGAAAATTTTTTCAAACTTTAGTTTAAATTTAAATTTTTAAAAAATTTTCTGTAATATATTTTTATTTGAAAAATAGTAACCTCAATAATAAAATAAATTAAATACAATGAAGAAGATAATTAATCCTTAGATAAATTTAAAGACAAGTTAAAATAAAATAAAAATTAAATTTTTGATATTCTTAAATTATAATAAATTTATTTTAAACAATTAAAATAAACTTTAAAGTTAATCAGAATAAAAACAATATTATTAGAGTCGATACTGAAATCAGAATTTTGATGAAAATTATTGCATGCATGTCAAGAATGAGGAAAAATGAAATATTTAATTAATGTGGGAAACTGATTAATTAATATCAATTGAGAACTGGTAAGGCACCCTTTTAAATTAAAGATATAGAATTTTCGTATCAGAAATTCATTTGCCCATGCAGTCGCAATATGCTAATCGATCCGTATATAGCATTGTCTTGGTTACTGCAGTTCAATAAATTACTTCAATTTTAAAGTTTTTTCTAGTTTTAACTATGTACAGAACATATATATCTTGTAATCTATCAAAACGTGACAGTCTAATATGTAGATAATCAAGTATGATTTTCATGTAAATTAATTCAAATTTATTTATACTCTAAAATCAAGTATATAGTTAATTACAAGATTTATTAATTACTTTTGAAATAATAGTTTTGACCACTTGTGGAATATTTTGATTAAAAAAAAGTGCATTTCCGAACACGTGTTTATAACCGGCACGATTCACATTTTTGGGTGCGGCCCAAGATGGCTACTGAACTTTATTTTTTTTATTCTGAGAATAAAAGTTTTTCATTTTCATGCACTTCAATTTAAATATGGGGGTTTTTTTTTAAACAATTAGAATAGATTTTCTTACAATTTAAATTTCGATTTTTTTTAAAATTTTAACTATAAGTTTTTGAAATTAAAAATAAAATTTTTGTGTAATCTAAATATCATTGTAAAAATTCAAGATTTTTTAACAATTTTTTAATAAAAATTTTTATAATTAAAATTTGTAAAAACTATTAAATTTCTTTAAAATTTTGAATTATGGTATTTTTCAGATTAAAGATTATCAAAATTAAAACTGAATTCTTTTGTAAATTATTAAAATGAAGTTCTTTTTAAATATTGTTTTTTTTTTATAAGTTATATTTTTTTCTTTTATTAATTTTAACTGGTATCCGTATCTTAATAAACTCGAGAACGGATGAAGGCTTTTTTTACGATGCTGTTCACGTTTTTGATCAACGAATTTTAAAGAAAAATTTTTTTGTGATTGAAAAATTCTATGAATTTTTGGCTCAAATATATGAGCCAAAAGTTTTGAACGTTCAAATGAACAAAATTTTTTTTTGTAACTTCTTTAAATACGAATTTTATTACAAAATATTGTTTTAAATATCTAAAAAGAAGTTATTAATTTAATATTTGTTTAATTTACTGTTTTATTTTACATTGACATTATAATTTTTAATAATTTATAGATTGAAAAAAATATTTTGTTCATTTAAACGTTCAAAACTTTTGGCTCATTTAAATATATTTTTTGCAATGTTTATTGATCAAAATTTATTTTTTTTTAAATAGGTAACAATTTTTATTAATTTAGATATTATTTATTATTTTATTTATTTCTTGCAATGTTTATTGATCAAAAAATTATAAAAAATACTTTGTTAACATTTTTTTTATAATTTTCCGTTTTAAAGAATAATTTGTTTTATAATGATTATAAACATTGTGGACTTCAGCATCATAATTATTTTTCTAATTTGAAAAAAAAATCGAAATTTTTCGGGTTTTAAACTGAAAGTCATGTGTTTATTAGGTCACGTGATTCTACATATGTAAATATTCTCCGCAAATTTGGGAAAATGCACCAAAAAATGATCTTAATATGTAAAAATTAAAATGTGCCATAATTTATTCATATTTATTTATTTGATGTGGAATTATTATTTCATCATAAAAAGAATAATAATAATAATAATAATAATAATAATTCTTTGATTAATTATATATTTACTATAATTAAACTAAAACATAATTAAACAGCATCGTTTTCAAAACATTAAGAAGAAAGCTTGTTACAAAGGAAATTCAAAAAAAAAATTTGTAAAATGTAAATCATTACATTTCTACATATTTCACTTTGTAATGTTTGTCTCGAATGAAAAAAAAATTTCGTCGTTAATTATTTAATTATTAATTTATTGTCAAAGCGGGACAAAGAAGGGGTTCGGCACCAATGAAGAAAACGAACGGAAAGGGAAAGCCCCGAACTAAACAACCAAAAAAAGTCAAATTTATCAGTGAGTACCTGTTTAATTAGCTGGCATTGATAGTAAACATTTTTAGGAGAAAATGTTGAATTTAAAAAATTGGATTGTTAATCTAATTATAAAATGCAAAAAAAAGAGTGGATTAATTTTTTGTTATTTTATATCAAGTAAGTCTAAAGTTGATAACAAAAACTAATAAAACTGGCACCAGTCTGCCGGTATTACCGGTGCGTGTACCGGCGATAGACGTTGCGGCGCCTAGGGACAATTGTTCTGAGCAGATCGATCCTTCGCAAGACACTATGACTCATGTTTAGACCTGTCTATCTTCTTGCATTATATGTTTTTATTCTTTTAGAGATAAAATTTCGATACTCAAATATACCGTTTCCTTTCTACGTTTAATAATGTCTAAAGCTGCAAAATTATCGATTTTTTTATTCCAGTCTCACTTTCAAATGTCAAAGTTGAAAGTATCTGCACTCTATATCTTCTTTGTCAAGAAGTGACATGCAACAGATATATCGTGTACCTCCAAAAATACTTTCATACTTTATTATTTATTTTAAGAATTCACATAAGTCGATATTGAAAATGCTATATATATTTTGTATCAATTTTATCAAGTGAATTATTTTTATTTAAAGAATTATATACATATCGAAACAATTTTTATAATATTCAAATAATCCTGTAAGATTTCAATTAAATTGATTATTTATTAACAAATTCTTACTAAAATGAAATTTATCAAAAAAAAATTGTATAAATATTTATAAACATATAAATTTTAGAATATTTAATTATATAGTATTTTTTGTGTTTTATAAATTAAAAAAAAAGTTGAAATTTGACGCTAATTGCTAATGAAATTTTCTTTAAAATGTAACATAGCTACTGAAATTCGATGCCAAGAGAAGTCAAAGGGTGGATTGAGATACGAGGTGATCCTGGCTGAACCAACGGTTGCCAAGAGAGCGCCATCACCACCTCAAGCATCACCAACTCAGGAGATAAATATCCAGGAAAAATTAAAGGCTGCTGAAGAGAGACGACTCTCCTTAGAGGCTAATAAACTTGCAGTTTTGGCATCTCGCCTCAGCAAGATCGAAGAGGCTGCTCGTAAAAAGGATGAGTTGAGTGCCGCTTTCATAGCGGCGACCCGCGAATCACTAGATGCCAAGATGAATCACACTGTTGAAAATCGAGAAACTCACATCACTGAGTTAAAGAGCAAATTGAAGGATCATGTGAGTTTCCTTCAAGTTTAATTAAACAAGTTAATTATCCTTTCGCAACTTCAATCATATAAACTACATCGAAATTTCCATTATAAGTTTTCTATCGTACAACTTTTTTTTTTTAATAAAAGTAACTTTCTAGAATTTTCAACACTAATTTCATCATTTCTAAACGAAAATATTGATTTTTCATGAATAATATAAATGTTAATTATTTATTGAATCAACATTTGAGCAATCTTTTAATTAAATTTGATACCTCCATTTTTTTTTATTATTACTTTACAAGTAAATTTTCATAAATAATTTTTATAAATTTCCAACAATTTCTCATATTCTACTCGTTATTTGTAAAGAAAATTTATTATTTTTAATTAATAAAACAAAAATTAATTAAATAATTTTTATGAAAAATCCTAATTTTCTATATGTATGAAATTGATTATTTATTCTAACAATGTTTACGAAATAATTTAAATAGTTGGAAAGCGTTGAAAAGACTCGATTGACTTTGGATCAACAAACTGAAGAAGTTCGTAGTGCGCTTGAGGACAAATTAAAGTCTGCTACAGCTCAACGAGATGAAAATCTGAAGAAAATGGTGGACCGTTTAAAAGATCATGTGAGTTTTTTTTATATATCTATTTAATTCTAATTTTATTTTCATTTCCTTTTTTAACTTCCAATAAAAAATAAACAATTAAAAAATATCCAATACATAATTAAAAATCAAAAAAGAGAAATTTATAAAAGAAAATTTTTGTAAATTTTTGCGACATTAAATTTAAAAAAAGGATTTTTTAGAATTTTATTTTTTTATTGTATAATTTAAAACATAACAATAATTTTCTTACAAAATTGTATAATTATATAATCGTGAGAAGGTCGATGGAATAAATTTTCAATGTAATGTTATTTCTCAGGAAGAACAAGTGGCTCGCGTGCGCAAAAGTATGAACGAAAAAGTTTTGCAATTGGATAGTCAAATTCAGGGAAAATTGGACCAAGCTCGTGAACGACGTGAAAATCGTGAACGCGAAACGAAAGAGAGACTTCGTAATCATGTAAGTTTTTACTTCATTTGTTCTTTTTCTATTTTAAAAATCTATTTAAAAAATGAAAAAAAGCATTTCTTTCTCTACGAACAATTACACTATATGATTTAATTTCTATAAACACTTCTGAATTATTGTTTTTATATTTTATGTTTCATCATTTTATTAGTTTATATATTTGTAATTCTTTTTTTTTATTAATCAGAACTTTATTACATTCTGAGTTCGCTGCACTCTTATCAATTTTATCAACTAGGGACTTTGTTTTCTGTATTTATTGATACTTTAATACTAATGCAAGACTGCGAAATTCAGTCAAAAATAATTACAATCAGACAAGAAAAAATCTTGGATATTGAAAACAATTTTGATTGGTTAAAATAAATTGATTTTTATACTTTTATCAGTGAAATTTTATAATGAGAAGTGAAATTTTCAATTTTTAAGTAAAATGTAATTATTAAATTACATTAAATTATTATTATAATTCAGTAATTAAAACTGAAATTTTATTTGACTTTCAATCAAATATTTTAATTAAATTAAATTAAAAAAGTTTTGTTACTTCAAAAATATTGTTTTTTTTTTGTATTTTAGCTGTAGTTGTAAAATTAATTTTTTTTAAACTCAAGATTTGATAATAAATTTTGAACTTCAAAAAAATATCACTCAAATTGATGTAATAAGAAAATACCATAAAGGACATATTGGAATTTTATTTTATGATTCAATAATAGTAATAATTTTTGCAGGAGGAACGCGCCAAGATAGTGAGACAAAATAAAGCAGCCAGGGAGGAGAATAAGAAGGCGGACAATGAAATTGTAAAGAACGAGATTGCTAGCTCTGGTTAAAAACTTATCTAGTGGTCCGGCACATAATATTAAGTTATCATTCCAAGAAAATTGCAGATAATGATACTGCCTCCTTTTTGTTTTTCTTCACCGCCTTAGCGTTTTCAAACCAAAAAAAAAGAAGAAAAAAAAACTAATTTAGCCGAACCCTGTCAACACAATGTTCTAAAAAAATTAATAAAGTTCATTTATAAATTACACGAAAAGATGTTTAAATAGCATATTAAAAAAAAAAATGATGCCCGATAATCGGGTAAAGCACTTTTCGCAAAAGTTGCCTTAAAATTATTTTATAGTATGACACAAGTAGCAAAAGAGTTTAACTTCTATTTTTACAATTACTATTATAAAAATGCTAAATTCCTTACATTTTGTTTTTACAAATAAATGCGATGGCAGCACAAATATTAATAAAATTTCGCTTTGAAAGCAAAATTTGATTGGTGTGTATCAGGAAGAAGTGAAAAATAGAACAAGGAAAAGAGAAAAAAAATCTTTTAAAAACGAAAACCCCCCTGAGAAACTCAATTAGAAAACATTAAGAATTAATAATAGATTATCATCGCTACATTTATACAATATATCATATAAGATTTATTAACGCAGTTATATGAATATATTTCATCGATTTGCACGCGCGAAATGTGCATTCGCAGTAATTATTATTAAATACTTCATAGAGCTTCATCTTAGGCTTTCGAATCATTTTGTACTTGATCATTGTAATTGTACTGCGCTAATAAGAAAAAAAAAAACTTTATTAAACTGATGATATGCAGTCTAACTAACAATTAAACTAATATTATAATGCTTCTGTGATGACTTTACTAATTGTCAAATTGTCTATTATTGGAATGAATTGTTTCTTAAACAAGGAATATATCGTGGTTAGAATATTAAAGGACCACTTTCCAAGAAATAACGTGTAAGTGATAAAAGAAGTGTGTTAGAATATAATTTAAACGCGCTCAGGTATCACATTTTTTCAAGAGTTTTATAAAGACCAAAAGAAAAGAAAAAATTCCTCAATCTCTAATCACGATAATAACGTTTAAAAGTTACTTCATGATGAAGATATATCATAACATATAAGAAGAAAAATATATCTCCAGTTTCATATACATATATATATAACAAAACAACGCCTACGAGAAACTCCCCAGAGGATTTTCAAAAATAAAAATTATTATTTGGCTATATATTAATAACATATGGTAAAGATTCAAGACAGCATATACACAAGTATTGCACATTAGATTATTTTTTATATCAAATTTTGAAAAAAAACCAAAGTATTATTAGTCTTCAAATTTTTGTTCTTAATGTGTGTCAAATTATTCACATTCTTCCATGCTACTTTTGAATATATTGTTTAAGCTGGATATTTAAAGATGAAAAAAAGGCACTTGTGTAAAATTATCTTTGAATTTGTAACGTTGCATAGTTGTTGTGATCATTTACAAAGCCTAAATTACAATTATAAGTATTAATAATGACCCGGCATACAAGTATGTTATGATTGTCTTTGACTTGCAATGCCCATATAAGTCTATAATATACATATATTTATATGTGATGATTTATAATAATGGTTAAACGTTGTTCGTATGGTTTTTAATGAGCTTCAGTATCGTACTAAGTGGAAAAAGGTTGATATGAAAAGTTTAATGCGAGAGTCCAAAACTTAATAAAATACACGTTCATAAAAATATTTGTTCTTTTGTTTATCATACCATCGTGTTTGAAAAAAAAACTATTACCTGAAACTTATAATTATCTTCACTCTTTCAGGCACACAATTTTTATTTTATTCGAAAATTCATCAATTCAAAAAGTTACGACTTTTTACAATTGAAAATTAAACTTCCATTTTAAAGTTTATTTTAGATAATAATTGCATTAATTTAATTTTAGTTTATATAACTAAATTATATTGAATTTACAAATTTTTGTTTATATTAATTTGCATTTTTTCTATAAAATGTCTAAAGTTTTAAATATTCGAGAAAAATAATTATTTGTCTTCTTACGATAATATGAAAAAACTTATTAATTAAAAGTAAAATTTGTTGTTCCATATTATTCTATATTTTTAGTTTTTTCCGTTTTTTCATAAGGTTATCGGAACAACAAGTAGTAAATTATTGTATGAAAATGAGAATAATTGTTATAATTGTTGGGAACCCATCAATAATTTTGAGGTTAATCGCAATCATTTTACAAATAGCTTAGACTTTAATGACTTTAAGTAAATAACAAACATATATGGAATTATATATTTTAAACTATGTATATATAATATGTATATTTAAACAAACTTACTCGTTTTCTAGCTGTATAAATATTATCTCTTTTCATTCTCAAACAAATAATCGTTTTGTTCTGAAGTATGTTTGTTTCAAACACAATTTTCAAAATACTGAATCTAAATTTTTTAATTTCAAATTCTTTGGAACACAATGACGTCATGGACGAACTGGAAAACTTTCTTCACTTATTCAAGATGGCGGCTAGATTGAAAGTTTCTGATTGGTTGGAAATTTACTCCTGAACATATGAACGCGCCTTTATTCCACTTTACTTACCGGACTTACAGCAAAATACATGCTCTACGTTGTTTCACATAAAAATAAATATATATAAAGTAAATTACGTATAATTTCGGAAATTTGTGAACTTATTTGAAAAAGTGTATTTTATTTATACGTGTAACAGGTCTAGCATGTTATGAAAACACCGGTTCCCAATTTCAATGTAGAATACAAAAGGGAGTGATAAATTTCAATGACAAATTTTGTTTCATTGTTACAATTAACCAATTATGTAATGCGCAAAATCAAGAATTAAACAAAATACATACATATGTATTTAAAGTGTGACGTCTCAATGCTGCGTCAATCATAATGGCTCCAAGCCAAAGAAACATGGAAAGCAACAGAAACATCGAGCTGGAGAACTTGCATAAACTGGTCTGACTGGATCTGCTTTTACAAGTGTACTTTTGGTAAAAACAAATGGCTAACGTATGATGCGTAGGTGGTGTGTGTTGAAAACGTGGTTAAAAGACGTGTAAAATGTTGTTGAAGAGCAACAAGTCAGAGAAAAGGAATCGGAGATATAATGGGAAAAACACTAAACTCTCTACCGGTAAGTTAATTTTTTAATAAATTGTCATCTTTAAATAATTTATTGATATAATTAATAAGCTAATCTCACTGTTTAATTCGAGTTTTGCAAATTTATCTGTCACCGCAATATATCAATACAATATGGCTGACATAAATATATGCATACTTGCACTGTAAAAAAAATTTTCTGTAAATTTACTACTTTCAGAATAGTAACGAATATTACCTTCTTTTAAAGCAGTGATTTTACTTAATTAAATGTGGCAAATTGACTAGGTTATGTTCGCATTTTTACAAAAAACTGTAAAATTACAAATACGGTAGTAATTATGTCACATTGAAAGTAGTTAATATTTGGTACTACTCTAAAAGTAGTAAATTTACAGAAAATAACGAATGTGCTACTTTAAAAGTATAAAGTTTAAATCAGTTATTGTATATTTACTGCTTTGAAATAAGTTCAGTTACAGATTTTGGTAAAATTACAAGTTCAATCCGTAAAATAAGACAAATTTATTTTTTACAGTGTGAATGTATATATTGAAAAACACTAAATTTTTTATTTTCTATAAGATTCTCATAGTTTTTTTCTTTTTTTTTAAGTTTGCCTGTTCTTGTACCTATATAAATTAAATGAATGAATTAAAATAAGTTCTTAATTCTTAACATTTATTTACATTTAGAACTAAATATTCTGAAATGTTTATTTAATTATAACAAAAAGAAGAAAACACTTGTAATATAAGGAACGATTGTCACGTGATATTGTCTAAAAATTGATTGTCAAATTTGAAGAAAGATTAGGTAAAACATGTCTATTAAATAAATATCCAAACAATGTAGTGAGTAATATTGGTTTATGATATTTATTTATGTGTATATATTTGGAGATATAAAACCCATTAAAAATAACTGTTTGAGGTTATATTTTCTATTAAGTTGTTATTATCGTTACATTATTTTTCTGTTAATTCAAAAATCAAAGTCTATCAGCTGAAGCAAAAAATATGACATCATAATCAGTATCTTTACATCAGGTTTAATGCATCAGTGTATTATGAAATACACTTATCTACGATAGTACCCGGTCACTGTACCTTTTAATATGCTGATGGGATTGTTAAAACATATTCGCATAATCTCTTATTTTTCGTGTCTGGATGATATTAATTAATTTAAGTTGAATGATTGTTTACTCAATTGTTAAGTAGCTGATTAAATACTAGTTATCTAATTGGAACAGTGATGTAAGATTTGTAAAGTCGATATGGGAAAATTATTCTATTTTCTCATCACATCTTTTCATATGGTACTATTTCTTGAAAATCAAAATTTACTCTTTACTATTTTTGTCCACGAATTTCACTTTTTTTTTCTTGTTACAGTTTACAATTATATATTATGTCCCCAAAGTTTTGAACGTTCAAATGAACAAAGTATTTTTTGCTACTAGTTTAGGTCTGAATTTTATTATAAAATTTTGCTTTAAATATTAAAAAATAAACTTTTATCTTATCAAATTTGTTACTTAATTATTAATTTTTATTATAGTGTATAAATTTTTTAAAATATTTAGCCAAAAATAAATTTCGTTCATTTGAACTAATTTTCAATTTTAATAATTAACTATTATTATATAATTAAATTTTCTGCCATAACGTTTTTTTCATTTACTTTTAATTAATCAGTCGTTAAAAATAATTTTTTGTCATAACGTTCTTCACGCCTGATTTTTCTTTGTTAATTTTATATTAGTATGTTTGCCAGTCTTACCTCTATCATTATCATCATCAGAGACGTAATATATTTTATTTGTTCAACTGCTGAAGAGTTTTACAGACGTCTGTATAAGGTTTATATTAAATTAATATTCTGTATTGTAACAATTTACATAATTCGTGAAGTTTATAATTTTAAAAACTAACTTCATATTTTTTGCGTCACCTTCAATTTAGCAAATTGTTTTTATAATTAATCAATAATTTTCATGTCTCATTTCGCAGAGCAGTTTTTTTGTCGACATTGAAAAAAAAACGGAATATTCAAATGTCATATAAATAGTAAAGAAGAATGGACATATATTTTTTTTGTTAATAAAAGCAGAAAATTAATTCCAAATTGTGTCTTTAAAAAAAATAATTAAAATTTTTAAATTAAAAATTTTAATTAAAATTAAAAGTTTTAATTTTAATAATGTAATTTAAATTATTAAAATTTTTTATCATATATAATTTTTCAGTATTATAGAATTACAAAAAAAGAAGAAAACAGAAAAATTGTTGAGGTCCTTCCATTGAAACCTTTCGGTCAACGATACTTTGAATCTCGATTGTGTTTCGAGAGATGAGTGGTTATAAATTTACGATTCTTTTTGTTAGATTGTTTATGGTATTGATCTGCGTGCGTTTCTTCTCTATCCCGTAAGTTTCTTGAATGCTTTAGTTCAAAGTTCATTCCACTGCCGTCTGGCTCTCGGCAAATTAATTATTGTACAAACTATCGCGCCAATTAGTGAAGCAATGCCCCCGTTGAAATTTTCCGCTTTCCAGTTTAATATAAATTCCATAATGATTGTCTTAAAACAAAGGGAACGGAATCTCAAAAAGGTTCTTGTTTATCCTCGCATAATTCTTTTTCCAATTGGCACAAACAAGTTCGATATTTATAATGCAAAAAAAACATTCAATTTTATTGAATAAAAATATACATTTTTTACTTAATCTAAAAGAAATTTAGTCTTACTGAATCAAAAAATAATTTATTATTCAAATAAAAAATTAATTAATAATAATAATTAAACTGATTAGGAAGTTTGGGAATTTTTATATATTTAATTTGTTCAAATGTAACTTTTTCTTTAATATGAAACTTGATTTAATAAATAATTGAATTAAACTGACTATAAAGACGATATCATTGTGTTCTTAAAATATTGTACCAATAAAAAACAGCTGCAGACAATAATAATAGTGCGTGTGATATTAATTCTATTTTCGATGATTGCGCAAATTTAGTGTTCAAATAAAAATTTTTAATCATTTCTGCGATTTTAATTTTTTTTTCTTCTTCAATAATAAAAATGTAAAAAATTTCGCACACCAATTTAAAAAAATACTCCATAAAAATATTCTCCGATTATATATTATAGGATATTCTACCTGTTATCTGTAATATTCGTTATCTATCTGCCACGTACATGATTTTGTTTTATTGCGATCAACATCACATGAGTATATTTGTCACTATATACATAGAAAGATGTGCTCTTAATTGTGAGATGCTTTCAAATTTTAGAAAATTTTTCACAATATCCGTCATTTTTTTTTTTTTTTTTTTTTTTTATTGTTCAATATCTTTTTTATGAAGAAGACAATTACAATTTCTTTTTCTTAACACAATATTATAAGATGGAAAAAATTCAAAAAGTCTTTGTTCTTCTCTTTTCAATCTTTTAATATTTTATTTTATAAACATTTAAGAAATTAAACACAAAATCAATAACATTGAATAATTTTCTCTTGTTGATTGAATAAAATATGTTAAAGTAATTGGACAAAATTGATGCATTCATTTGCTATAGAGATAAATAAAAATTGTTTAGAATTTTGTCGTTAAATTTTATAATAATTCATTGGATAAAAAAAAACGTTAAATAAAAGATTATAATTGAGGGTACATCAATCAGAGTGTTTGAATAGACTTTAAGTAAAATTATATAGATGAAAAAATGAAAAATTTAATTAAAGAAAATTTTTAATTGGTTTAGTGAAGCATATTGGTATTATATATATTTTCACACATGTCAGTTAATAATATACTTTAAGTATTTTTTACAGTCTTCTTTGAGACTTCGATTTATACGGCCATGAACTCTGATAAAATCTCACGCGATTTTATTATCTGTGAAAAAGAGAAGAATATAATCGAACAAATAGCTGCATTGGTCACACTGTGTTTTTTTTATTTTAGTTTTCAAAAATATTGTTAAAATCAGTAAAAAAAATTTGTATCAAATTATTAATATTTTTGTTTTATCCATTTTTTTCATATTTAATTCAATTCAAAGATCTTGTTTATAAAAATATCGAATACTCATAAGATGATTTTATAACGACTTTTGATTGAGAAACCTTTCTTAAATGTCAAGAATTCATGAATTCGATGAAGTCAACAAATTCTGTTACTCCAGGAAGCAATAGCCAAGTCGTAGTCGACGCATAAATAGATTAGTGACCTTGATATAACGATGCGTCTTAAAACTTAAATGTATAAACTTTATGGTTTATTGTCTTTGTGATTTTAGTTGGAAAAATAATCCACTCTTAAGTTTTCATATTTAGTTAACCATTAATTAATTGCGTTTTATCAACCTAGAAGTGATATATATATATATATATATATATATATATATAGGGGAGAGTGACAAACAGTGGGACACTTTTTTTTCAAAGACACATTAATATGTCAATTTTATATATTTTTGAAGACTTTTTGGTATTGCCATAAAGTTTGAACTCTTTTCTACATAATGCACATATTCTATTAAGATTACATTGTGATTAAATAAAAAAATTTGAAGTTTTTCAATCTTGATACATTTTTCTTGTTTTGAAGGTTTGTGTTAAACAGTGGGACACCTATTATTAAGTACCGAATAATTATTTAAATAATAATATTCTGCTTCAAACTTTGTAAATATATATTTTTTGCATTAAATAACGTTAACAAATGTTGCAAAATACTCATAATTTAATAATATTTTACATTTTTATAATACGATGTCAAGTATCATATAAAAAATTGCTATTATTTTTTTTCACGTTTACAGTACTGCTGATCATGCGTCATAATTTGGTCATAACTTAAAAACAATTTGGAGAAAAATTTGAATAGTCGTTCTCTTACCAAGTGTTACTTTTTAAATGTTGTCGAACAATAATTGGAATATTAATTATAAATTTTGAATTTTTTATTGTTTTTTAGCATAAAAAAATCACATTTTTAGTCGCTGTGTAAGTA